CTCTACCACTTGAGCTATAGCGACTTCGATCCAATCGGGCACCAACTTCCCATCTCAACCTACCTTTCGAATTTTCCCTCTTTTTTGCCATTTTCATTTTTATCTGGACCAATACCTTACATAAAGATTAATTAATTGAAAGGTGTTGAAGTGAAAGGTCAATCGCACCACGAAATCTGATGAAAGGAGACATAACCGGAGATACAAAGAAAATCCAGGGAAAGGAACGACACTCAATGACCTAGTACTCCTTAAAAGAAGGTATAATCGAAACACTTATTATACACTTATTCATAGTTTCCTTTCATCATCTATCAATATATCATGCAACATGAGCAAAAGAATGACCAACTAAAATCATAAAAAGTATTAGAACATAATGTTGAAAACTAAAACTAAAAGGAGAATGACTAAGAAAAGTGAAGCTGGAATTAACAAGTGTTTATTGCAGATTGTAAATATTTTTCTGGAAGTAATTTGGAAATTTTTTAAATTTTCTTCAAAGCCATTATATTTAGTGGTCTATTGACCGAAATACTTACTTCAATTACTTAATCTTTTTATGTACGGTTTTGGTTGAAATGAAAATGAAATGAAAGTTAGAGTCACGAGGGGGATTCGAATTGAAAAATGGCAAAAAGGAGGGAAAATTCGAAAGGTAGGTTGAGATGGGAAGTTAGTGTCCGAGTGGATCGAAGTCGCGATAGCTCAAGTGGTTGAGCAGCGGCGTATTTAGCCGAAGGTCGTGGGTTCGAATCTCGCTCGTGACACTAACTGTTTCATTTCAACTAACGTCTTACATAAAGATTAATTAATTGAAAGAAGTTATTTGGTCAATCGGACCACGAAATATAATGGGAGAAAAAAAACTTCGCTTAGATTCTCTTGTTATTACAAGAAATGCCACGATTCAAAATTCCCGAAGGCAGCCGTTTTATAATCACAGCAACAAATATAGATTGTAGATGGTCCGATATCGTAAATGTATAATAAAATAAGGTTTTCCGAGGGACATTTTACGGATGTCTGTTTGTATAAAAGGTCTCTCTGTTCTATGGTATTTTTATATTTATGTCTCATTCATCCCTTTGTTATTTTGAATCTAAAGGGGACGCGTGGGCGAGGGCTTAGTTTACTATAGATCGTACCTAATATATCAGAAATTCGAAACGTATATCAGAATATTATTTTCATCCAAATTAGGTTAAAAATTCATGTCCTATTTGCGATCCGATACATATTTTTAAATTAAAGAGACAATTTCTCTAGCGTTTCTCTATATCATTCGCAGCCGTTTTAGTTAAATTTATTGCGTAAATATAAGCATTACTTAAAAAGAATTTTAATAATTTATTGCACATTTTAAAAAAATTCCATTTTAAATATTTACATATTATATAATATAGATAATAATTTAGCAGAAAAATATAACACAGCTTTTTTCTTCTTTATGGTTTTTTTTTGTAAATTTAGTTAATCTGAAAAATACCTAAAAAATTAATGTGTTGAAATGTTTTCATATACTTACTATATGAAGTTTATTTATTTAGTTTAATTAGACGAAATGGTTTGTAGAAAATATTTTTTTTTAGGAAATAAAAAGGCGATCAACCTCTACCGGTTATATTATACGTTAACACTCATAATCTCATAAACTTTATGAGAGGGTGGCTGACAAACTCCTGGAACAGTTAAGGAGGCGAGTTCAGACGACGCAACGCACCTCTCGGATTTTAACTCCAAAAATTTATGCATTTGTACTTAATAGTTTTTGGGCAGATAATCTGATGGGTGTGCATGACACTGCCCTCACCCCTCCAAATCTGGGGTCCGTGCAGACCCGAGGCTCCGAGAGAGGTGCGTGTCCCCCACAAGATGCTCAATACACCCCATATCCAGCTGGCTAGAGTGATCTAGATTTTGTGCAATAATTTAGTGGTTCGTAAGAATGCAGACTGTCTATATTCTAGGAATTGTCCTCATGAATTCCGATAATTGGCTGGCCAGGAGGTGTTGTCTTTTAGCCTGGACATATTTAACATGGTCTTTGATTACATGCTTCACTGTGACTACCCTACAGGTTTCACAATGAGGGGGGAGATTCTCTAGCCATTAGATATCCTTGAGTGTGCCTACAGTGCTCTATTCTCAGACACGTCCTTGTGTTTTGTCGCCCGGCAAGAAGACTTCCAGTGTGCAATATTTAGCTTTATTTCCCTTAGTTTGTTGTTATTTATCTCGACCCATGCTTCTTGCCATTGCTCGCACCTATTTTTTTTCTAATTTGTGCAATTATACAATATGAACTTATTTTAAAGGCAAGAAGCAACAAGTGTCATGGCTGTTTTGAGACTTTCTTGAAAGCCCAGACCCTTGCAAGCAGAGAAGATGAAGCCACAGGCATACCTGAGTACCAGGCCAGCCAGGCAGGGCGGAGAACCAGGGAGGTGGCGGCAGATAGGCTGACCGTATCTTCTTTTTCCTGGACGTGGATGTATGTGCCATCATCCAGATCCCTCATGTCCGAGTTCCCATTCTGTGAGAACCATCAAATAGCCTGCCCAGTTTATATCGTAGGTCTTTTTTTCCTCGATTGTTGTTTGTTGTCCGACCTTCCCACTTATGCCATTGTAACTCCTTTTCATTGGCTTCCTTGGAAGTCTTGACGTCGAATGCATTTCATATTATATCGGAGTGCCTAGAAACCTACAGAAAAATAACTTTTATGTTCCGTTGAAGGAGATGATTCAAGGCGAATAGGTTGTACGATGGAGCAATAGGAAAAACCGTCTTCCAAGGCTGGAGGGCGGGTAACGAGACAGAACATATAACCTGTCACTTTCTGGACATATGATTTTAAGGGGTTTGTCGACAGCTCATCACTAAAGTTAGTGCTCAGAGGTTGAAGGAAAAGTAGTACTGAAAATTTAAAAACTCTAGTGACTACACGATTGAATGAATATATTTATTTGCGTGAGTGGTTTAGCGTGTGTGGGCACGGTCTGTGGAATACCGACTTCTGACAAACCTGCCAAAACAATTAGGTTAATTAGTTAGTGAATGCGTGAATTTTACTTATGTGAATGTATTGTTTGGCGTGAAAGTTATACCATGCTTGGCTCTATTTGTGATGAAATATATAGAAAAAACACACCAAAGTAGTCTAGGTCATTTAGTTTTTTATTTATTTGCAGTGTGATAGGGGATAGTCACTAGTGTAATATAAAAAAAAAACCCTAGTGACTACACTATTGTGTGTTAGCATGTAAAAAAATCACCTCAAAATTAACCAGTGAATACATCAAAATCTCCAAAACCCGGGGAAACACAACAAACTTGGGTGCCAAGGCACAGAGGAAATTTGGGTGACGAGAAAACAGACAGACTGGCCAGACGCGGATCTGCAAGATCATACATAGGCCCTAAACCTACTTGGGATATCAAAAACAAATATAGAATCCTCCATCGCAGAATGGATCAAAACAAAACAAAAGGAGAACTGGATAAACTTTAGTGGCGTTAGACACAGTAAACATTTGATGAAACAACCTTCACCAAAACTGGCAAAATCACTCCTGCAATTGGAAAGGGCTAAACTCAGAGAAGTGATAGGAATACAAACTGGTCACTGGCATCTGAGGAAACCTCATATACACAACGATACCATCTGCAGATTATGCAATGAAGAGGAGGAAACAGCCATCCATATCATCTCCAAATGCGAAGCAACAGCTCAATGGAGATTTAACCTAACATACGAAAAAATCTAGGGAAATGAAATTGTAGCAGCGACAGTCATTGGCCTGACACTTCTAAGAAGAAGGATTGAGACTATTGCACCGAACTAAGGAACAGTGAAGGTACAATAAGCCAGAAGTCTGCAGTGCCTGGGGAACACAAATCCTCCTTATTACCATACCATACACTATTGTGTAAGTGTATTTATTTGCGTGAGTGGTACTGTGTGAATGAGCAAGGTCTCTGTGGAATATCGAGTACCCAAAGATCCTTCGTTGAATTAGGTTAACTTAGTGTAGTGAATGCATGATTTTTACTGCGTAGTGAAAGTATTTATTGGCTTGAATGAAGGAAGGGCGTCAAGGGGAAAAACACCTTGCAGGTTAAGTTGTACATAATTTTTGCGCAGCTGTAGGGATGGGGTTTCAGCATAATTTCTAGAGCTCTTGGGTCCCGCCAAGCGTAGATTATGAAAACGTTTTAAAAGTGTGAACGTGTATTTTAATTGACTGTTTAATCACTTGTGGAACGCCTAAATTGGAAGATAGGCGAAGAAAGGCCTAATTTTGTAGATGTACCTGCAGTAATTCTTTAATTATAACTAAGCCTCTTTATCAAAGAGATATAGAGTAAAAAATGGCCTATAAAAATATGTTAAGTTAAATTCAACATTTTAGTCAAAGAATGTAAAGAATTTTTGTAACTATCGCTAAATTAAAGCCTAAATTAAGCTAAGAAATATTTTGTCTATAACTTAAACATTGATCATACTCCTCCAAGGAAAAATGAAAGCTTTCTAAATTCACAGCTCAGTAAAGTGTTATAAAATGTTCAAAACATTATAATATATCCCTTAATCGGTTACGGATGAGTTTTTATTCAATTACATGCTATTCAATTGATTGAAACGTTTTTCAATTGGATAACTTCACTTCTGAGAATCTCTAATGGCCCATAGAAAAACTCTCTCATCCAAATAGACCTTGTTTATCCAACAATTTTGTAACAGTTGGGCATGCTGAACAGAAGTTAATGGATTAAATAACATAACTTTTTATTTGTGTTAAATTTTCAGCTGGTCAAATGTGAAATATTTATACGTTTATGTTTTGTGTTTACGCCACCCAACCGAATTACACCTCCAATGAAGACGAGTTTTTTTTTCTTCCAAGGGGGATGAAATCTTAAAGGATCGTAAGAGGGTAGAACCACGTGTTTAGTTATTGGTGGAAGGTAATTAGACAAGGGGGTCGGTTGTGTAAGAGGATCGTGGTGGGGATGCTAGAGGGTGGCGGGGAATGTTGTTATATAAGGGTGTCTGGCTGGATCCTCCCCCTCAGTGCATATACCTACGTCGAACGTACAGGTGGGTACCAACCCTTTACAATCACACGCCTTTCGTAATTATCGTTGAAATATACAGTATGCAGAAAAAAAAAACATGAAACGCACCTAATATCAATAATCAATCTTGAGTTCTACTAGCGTCGATAGTTGCAAGAGAGCATTTTTTAAATGAAAAAATTACTAAAAAATTAAACCTGTTTTGGGATAGACAAAAAAAACTATATTTTTATATTATCCATGTACGAAATAATCCTGAAACATCAATTAAAACTATATAATTTTTATACCGATGATTTTTCATCTGTCTTTTCCATGGAGAAAATGTTTTCACCTCTTTTTAAATCACGAATCTTTACCCGTCTCCTTTTTTTGAAGGTTAAAAACTAAATGTTACTTTAAACAAGAAGTAATCGGGTTGTGTTTAAAATGGACCGTACTGGATAGAAAGATGTTACCAGTACGTCTCGGAGCCATCCAGAACTTAATGATTTTCTTATACTGGAGGAAGATTCTGGGTACCTTTTGGGGCATTCCGTATTGGCTGGTTTTACATTTGGACAAACGCGAAGAGTCGTGTTGTCTTTGGACTGGAAGAAAATCTGGATGAAATAACAGTCTTAAAATCGCATGGGCTTGTTTTTTTTGGGTTGATTTTATTCCTAGGACATCTAGCTGGCGAAAATAGAGCGAATAAATTATTGGAATGCTGTGGTTGAAGGCTGAGGGTGTTTTTTCAAAAAATCTGAGAAGATACAAACGGAATTACCGGATTTAACCCATTGTATTTCTATATTGCTTGTCAGGGGGGGGAGAATGAACAGTTTCAACGCCCCTAGAATAAAAAAGACCCGATTTGGCCGTCTGGTTAAAAATTGTACGCGTCTACCTTATCTTAAAAAAATATGTATATATTAAAAAAGAACTGTTTTTGGTTTAGACTTAATTTAGTTTAGGCTAAAAATGCATTAAAACAACATAATTAACATAATGGTGGCAACGTCGGTACGCCTGATCACCTTAGAAGCTCCCTAGGACCAACAGCACTGTCGATATTTGGCCCTCGGAGGATTTGACTGGTAGAAGAAGTGTCTCCATCACCCGATTAAGAATAGGCCATGCGAGGTTGACATAAGGACACTTTTGAGACAAAGCCTGAGTATGTGTCAGTCTTGGTTGTTTGATGTGTCCCTCCACGGAATGGGCTCCATATAGAGAGCGAGAAGTTAGGCCACCCGATATGAGAATTGTGCTTGGTCACATTTGCTTACGTTCATTTAGATTCTCCATTTGCCGTACCATAGGATGAGGTGACTTTGCAGATAGGAGCTTACAACATATGGGCTGGAATAAAAAGAAAGTCTTGCCATGTTGTTGGCAAACGTGGAGATAACTGTGTTAAGGCAGTAGGAATGGCAGTAGTGCACATTGTAAAAATAATCCGGCCAAGGATTTTACTTTTTTTATATAAGAGGAAAGGGATGTTCCCTGACAGAGTTGTATTACTTAAATATCTTTTATTTCTTCTGTTGTCAGCTATCTGGGCACTTTTGGGCCAAAGCCCGTGTATGGGTCCGGCATATAGAGAAAAGTTGCTCGATGTGTCCCACTTAAGTGAATGGTGCAATTCCTTGGCTCTATATAAAGAGCGCGTAGGTAGAGAATTTGTCTTATGCACGACAGCGAATATCTGGGTCCCCTATAGAAATAGGAATTCTTTACTCTATATAGTACCGATTTTTTTGTGTCCCAAGTGTGTGTCGAGAGTAAATATATTTATTAGCCTGAATGAGTAGTGTGTGTTGTACAGATATTTTTTAATCATGCATATTACCCAGAGAAGACGTTGGAGATATATTTGTTTTCACCCAAAATTCTTTACCTTTTAATTGGTTGTCTAGAAAGCGGAACGGGGAAGGTCTGGAGAGTATAGATTGTTTAAATAGATTGATTGTTCGAGAGGACAACGTAGAATTTTTTTTATGGACTTATGTTTTATATATTAGCCAGAGAACGGTACTTGACAATAACTTTTAATATTGATGGATCATTAAATCGCCACAATAGTCATTACTGATCAATCGTTCAAACAGGTGAGGTTGATCATCTAATCGCTAAATGTACCGAGGAGAATTTGGATTAAGTTGCATAAAATATAATTGCCAAAACTTACGGTTTTCCGGTATACAGCACCGACCAGAGTTAAGTTTCGTAAATTGTCACACAATTTCCTTGACATTATATTAAATTTACATTGTGATCGTGCGTATTAGCCGGAGGAGACGTGAGACAATTGCTTATGCGTAATTTTTTCGTATTTCAGCAGGCATCTAGGATCACCAGATTTCTCGGGAGGCGCAATGAAACGACTATAAATCAGACTGCTAAGAATAATAAAAAATAACTTTCAAACGTGACTATTTCAATATAATTAAAATTATAAAGCTGTCTCCTAAAATAAAAGAAATTAATAAAAAAAAAAAAAAACGGAAAAACAAGATACTGAACATTATGGCTATTTATTTTCTAAATTTATTTTTCAGTCGAGACTACAAAACTTTTCATTTAATAAGCGGTAAATTTAAGGTTATTATGATTCATAAAGGAGCCACAACATGAAAACCCGTTTTTATTTTTCCAGACGTTTTCTATATTACTATTTGAATCGGTTGAACCCTAAAAAAGAATAAATGAATAACCTTCCATATTTAGGAAAATCAAAATTGAATCTAATAGCTATTTCTAACAGTGAAATTAACTCCTTAATTAACAATTAACACAGCGCTATAAAAAATGTCTTATTCTTTATACATAATTTAGGCGTGATTATTGAAAAAGAGCGGGAAAAGAACATAAAAATAAAGGCAAGAACAGCAGGAGCGGTGTCATTACGTGGCATGAAAAAACACATAAAAGTTTCATTAGAGGTTTGTTTCAATAGGACGCTGCTACATTTCGGCTAAACTCGATTTTATATTGGAGAAAAAAAAATTGGCATATGCAGGGTGTATACATTTTTGAAATTTTTTAACCACAGGTTTATTAATTTTTTTTATATTGCCTGAAAATTGTATATCAATACTTTTGGTTGGAGGACCGCTGTAGCCCAGTGGTTATCTTGTTAGATTTTCGGCTCGTACCGACTGTAACCTCACTTCGTTGGTTCGAGTCCCACCATCACACTTTCCTTCCCACATATAAGCGCATAAGCGTAAGTACCGTTCTCTGGCTAATATATAAAACATAAGCCCATAAAAAAAATCATGAGTCTATAAAATATAAATAAATATTCAGCGCTATCCTCAAGTTGTAGAACAGGAACAATAACCGCTCCATACTCTCCAGATCTTGCGCTTTCCGATTTTTACTTGTTCCGCTCACTAGACAACCAGTTAAAAGGTAAAGCGTTTTGAACGAAAACTCATATATATCTCAGCTATACTTACCATATGCCTTATCATAAGGCCATTAAAGATATACATAAAAATATTAAAATTTCGTTGTAGGTTTTTTAAAATTAAATAACGCGCTTTGGTTCCTAATACACGTTATCGAAGCAAAGTAATTATAATATTTTCGAAAAAGAAATAAGGCTTTGAAAATGTTTCACATCCACTTCAACATAATTTTAACATAATTTCAAGGAAAAATGCTTGTATGGCAATTGGTGGTTTATACCGGAAAACCATAAATTGCGGCAATCATATTTTATGAAACTTTACCATTCACAATTAAAACTGTACACTATAAATTGACCGACCACGTAGACGATCAACCTCACCAGTTTGTGTGAATGTATTTATTAGCAAGACTGAAGGTAGGGCGTCAAGGTGAAAAACGCCTTGCCGTTTAGGTTGTTCATTGAAGATATGTAGGGGAGAATTGGCCATATATAAATATTTTAGGTTATATTCAACATTCAATTCGATACTTAAAGCAGATAAACGTATATGGTCGCATATAGGGAGCCATTTCATAAGTTGTTTGAAATAATAAGCTTAATTTTGAGCGAATGTATTTATTAGCGTGAACTTTGAATTTTGGGTGTTTGTTATGGAATATCTAGTACCAACAGGCCCACAAATGGTGTTTCGTGACTTTCTCAGTTGTTAGCAATAGGAGGTTATCTAGGGTAGATATGGATTCGAGGAAGGATTGAAACTGGGATGAACGGTATTTGAATAATTCGTAATTCAGGATGTAAAGTAACTTAAAAAAGAATTTAGGATCGAAAACGCATATATCGCGCAACATTTCCTCTGGCATGATCAAACAATTAAAAAATATATGTATATATATAAAAAATAATGAAATTATGGTTGTAACCTTAAAATTAACTTAACACGCTTAAATTTCTAATACACGTAGTAATTATTAGATTTTTATGACAGGTAGTAATTATTATATTTTTCAAAAAAGGAATAACACATTGAAAATGTTTGATTTTACATTCACTCCAATATATGTTTAATAGAATTTCATATTTGACAATTTAATAAGCATAACGCATAACTGTTATAGGCTTTAAATTAACTTAACACGATTAAGTTTCTAACACATGTTATCGCAGTGAAGTAATTACATTTTTAGAAAAATAAATAAGGCTATGAAAAAGTTTCATTTCGCAGTCACTTAAACATAAATTTAATACAATTGCAAGGAAAAATGCTTGTATGAGAATTGGTTGGCTTATGGTTTATGCCGGAAAAACTTAAGTTTTAGCTATCATATTTTATGAAACTTTACCAAAATTTTACGACTATTCATTTCCCGACCGCGTTGGTGATCAACCTCGCCTGTTTTAATGATTGATCAGTAATGACTATTGTGGTGATTTATCACATCAGTATTAAAAGCATCTTCAACGGAAATTCGAAGTTTTCTAGATTTAAAAACTTTTCATCCAGATTCCCCATCTGCAAAATGCTTTTTGGAAGACAATGTTTAGGGTTCTAGTCTGCAATATACCGGCACTATAGGGGATATCTATCGGTGTTTTATTTTACCAATTGAATTATTAGT